CTCCCCACCTACACTCACCTTTACTGGCTCCATCCCCGCCTCTTCGATCTGTTTGTTTCCTCTCCACCTATCCTCTCCTCTATCCATCTTCTATCCGCCTCCCACTCTCTCCCTATTTATTTCAGAACCCCCTTCCCCTCCCCCTTTTCTGATGAAGGGTCTAGACCCGAAACGTCAGCCTTTCTGCTCCTATGATGCTGCTTGGCCTGCTGTGTTCATCCAGCCCTGCACCTTGTTGACAATGGGTCAAGTCAGGCTGGGGAGTGGCTTGGCGGGGAACTTGAAGGTGGTGGTGTTCCCATATATCTGCTGCCCTTGTCCATCTATTTGAAAGTGTTGTGGGTTTGGAAGGTGCTGTCTAAGGATCTTTGATGAATTTCTGCAGTGTATCTTGTAGATAGTACATACTGCTCCTACTGAACGTTGGTAGTGGAGGGAATGGATGCTTGTGGATGTAGTGGCAATCAAGCGGGTTGCTTTATCCTGGACGGTGTCATGCTTCTTGGGTATTATTGCAGCTGCATCTATCCAGGCAAGTGGAGAGTGTTCCATCACACTCCAGGCTTGTGCCTTGTAAATGGTGGACAGGCTTAGGGCAAATCAGGAGGTGAGTCACTCACCACAGTATTCCTAGCCCCTAACCTGCTCTTGTAGCCACTGTGTTTGTGTGGTGAGTCCAGTTGAGTTTCTGGTCAATGATAGCCCGCAGGATGTCGACAGTGTGCGATTCAGTGATGGTAACACAATTGAATATCAAGGGATGGTGGTTAGATTGTCTCTTATTGGTGATGTTCATAACCCAGCATTTGTGTGCTGCGAATGTTACTTGCCACTTCAAGCCTGGATACTGACCAGATCTTGTTCCATTTGAACACAAACTGCTTCAGTATCTGAGGAGTCGCGAATGATGCTGAAAATTGCACAATCATGGGCGAACATCACCACTTGTGACCTTATGATGAAGGGAAGGCCATTAATAAAACAGCTGAAGATGACCGGGGCTAGGATACTACACTGAGGAACTCATGCAGAGATGTCCTGGAGCTAAGATAACTGACCTTTAATAACCACGACCACCTTCCTATGTGTCAGGTATGATTCCAATCACTGGAGAGTTTGGCCCCTCATACCTATTGATTCCATTTTTGCTAGGGCTCCTTGATGCCACGCTCAGTCAAATGCAGCCTTGATGTTAAGGGCTGTCATTCTTCCCTCACCTCTGGAACTTAGCTCTTTTGTCCATGTTTGAACCATGGCTGTAATGAGGTCAAGAGCTGAATGGCCCTGGCAGAACCCAAATTGGGCATCACTGAGCAGGTTATTGCTGAGCAGGTGCTGCTTGATAGCACTGTTGTTGACACTTTCCATCACTTTACTAATGGGGTAGTAATTGGCTGAGTTGGATTTATCCTGCTTTTTACGTAAAGGACATACCTGTACGTGCTTTTGTATTAACCCAAAATTTTTCAAGTGACCTTGATCAATAACATCATTTTCCAAAGAGTAAAATTACATTTCCTACCTAATTTGTTGCAGAGACATGGGATTTTTGATTTGTTGGTAATAGTCAGGATAATCTTTCTTGGAGGGGAGGCGAAAGAAAGGTTCAGCCAGAAGTTGTCCCTGACTGTTCCGGTAACTTCTAACTACTTCAAACAGCTGGTAAAGAGGGCTCGTAACATCAACAGATGAACTGATGCTTTCTCCTTCAGAATCACCATCTTCATAACGAGTGACTGCTGTAGAAACAAAAAAATGTGTATAGAAAAGCCAAAATAGCCATTCTTAAAATGTTTTATTCAAATATACTACCGTAGTGTCTTACCACCTAAACCACTTTCTTCTTCGCTCTCAGATCCATACTGCAAAGCCATTGTAATTGCTGACAAACGATCCCCTTGAGCTGACCTTCGGTTTCTGTGAATGCAGAATTTCAAAATAACCTTTTGAAATTCAGAATACATCTTTTGCTCAAGTATTAATTATACATGTTTTAATTACGGAGTATTCAATCTCGTGTAGCATTGTTCAGTATTAGTTCAGGAAATTGACAGAGGAGCGAATCACTCTGGTGGACTATGCATCATGGGGGAAGAGCAGAGAAAGGTGACACGCAGTGGGAAAACGGCACAGTCCAAAGTGATAATAGCATTTTACAAGTGAGGCTATACATCACTAGGTTAAATACCTTTCTTAGAATAGTTCAGAAACTGACATGGTAATAGTTGCAGTCAACTCCCGACTGGAGATATTACTTGAAATATCAAAGGCAAGCACCTTATTGATGTATGTAGTTATAACTGTTTTGCTGCAAAAAGTATTTTTAGTATTATGTCCCAAACTTAATAACATCAGACCAAAAGGAATTTTAAAGGCACTTTGTGTGATTGAATTGGCTTTCTCTTTTTCCTCATAATCAGTAATACTGGTAACTGCTTGCTGCTACCTGAATGGTTTTTTTGCTACTAGCTCATTGATGTTCTCCCTATCTATTCAGTTGTGAGTTGCTCTTAGAGTTATAGGGATGTACAGCACAGAAACAGACCCTTTGATCCAAGATAACAAGGTGTACAGCTGGATGAACACAGCAGGCCAAGCAGCAGAGGAACAGGAAAGCTGACGTTTCGGGTCTGGACCCTTCTTCAGAAATCTTTGGTCCAACTTGTCTGTGCCAACCAGATATCGTAAATTAATCTAGTCCCATTTGCCAACATTTAGCCCATACCCCTCTAAACCCTTCCTGTTCATATACCCATCCAGATGCCTTTTAAATGTTTTAATTGTACCAGCCTCCACCACTTCTTCTAGCGGTTCATTCCATACATGCACCACCCTCTGTGTGAAAAAGGTGCCCCTCAGGTCCCTTTTAAATATTTCCCCTCTCACTTTGAACCTATGCCCTCTAGTTTTGGACTCCCCTACCCTGGGGAAAAGACCTTGACTATTCACCCTATCCAAGCATCACATTTCTTTCAGGTCACCCGTCAGCCTCTAACACTCCTGGGAAAATAACCCCAATCTATTCCCTACAGCTCAAACCCACCAAAATTGGCAACATCCTTGTAAATCTTTTCTGAACCCCTTCAAATTTCACAACATCCTTCCTAGAGTAGAGACCAGAATTGTATGTAGTATTCCAAAAGTGGCCCCACCAAGGTCCTGTCCAGCCGCAACACAACCTTCGAACTCCTATACTCAGGTGGCACGGTGGCTCAGTGGTTAGCACTGTTGCCTCACAACACCAGGGACCTGGGTCAATTCCGTCCTCGGGTGACTGTCTGTGTGGAGTTTGCACATTCTCCCCGTGACTGCGTGGGTTTCCTCCCACAGTCCAAAGATGTGCAGGCTAGTTGGATTGGCCATGCTAAATTGCCAGTAATGTTCAGGGATGTATGGGTTAGGTGGGTTATAGGAGGATGGGTCTGGGTGGGATGCTGTCAGGGTTGGTGTGGACTTGTTGGGCCGAAGGGCCTGTTTCCACACTAGGGATTCTATGATTCTATTCTCAATGCACTAACCAATGAAGGCAAGTGTACCTAACACCATCTTCCCTACCCTACTTATCTGCAACTCTTGTTTTATGAACCAATCAGAGACGCTGACTTTGCATGCATCATGCCTGATGTATGACAGACATTTTCTACATTCAACACATTAATATGAATGAATGCAAACTATAACTAACATAGCACCTCTCACGTTTTTTCTTATTTTTATCTATTTTGGTTTTCAAAGGTTTTCCTGAAAATCTTGTTTTGCAAAGAGGTACAGCTTACATTGTTTACGGGCAAAAGAAACATATCATTTGTAAACATTGTCTTCAAAAGTCATATTTTCAGTGTACCTGATTCGGAGACTGGATTTAGTAGGCTCCAAATTATGCTCAAGTTCGGCTCTCTTCTGATTGAATACTTTCTTAATGGTATTTGCATCCTACAGAGTTGGAATTGATATTTTCATTATCAAAAAGACGAATAAGTTATCTCTGCCAGTTCCCAAACTGTGGCCCTGGGTATGTTATAGTATGGTATAATGCTCTGCTCCTGAGTTAAACTGGAATGTTATTACTATAATAACTCAAAAGTAAAAGAGTCTTAGCAAGATGGTTGCTTAAATCTTAAGAGAAAGAAAATAAAGACTGGTATTTATATTGCATCTTTCATGATCACTAGATGTCCCACAGTAATTCTTTATGCTAAATGAAGTATGTTTGAAGAATAGTGACTATTGGAATGTAGGAAAAACTGTGTTTGGTTTAAGAAAACAGGTTGGACAGTCATGATCTAAATACAACACATTTTAATTTTTGTCACCCTTACCTTGAAGATTGGAGAACCCGGCTCATTGTAGGTTTTTGCATTCCTTACTAAAAGCTCAATATCTCTAGCCATCACATTGACACTTTTATAAACACCATTCTGTAAAAAGAAATTGGTATGTTCATATTAAAAGCAAGTATTCACTTTAAAAAGTTAAATTTAATATTTAGAAAATTTTCAGGCGGAGCAAAAATGATGCTGAATAATTCCTCACTTCAAGTGAGGCAATGACCTAGTCTATTGTCACTGGACTATTAACCCAGAAACGCAGGTAATTTTTTGGGGACTCTGGTTCGTATCTTGCAGATGGTGAAATTTGTATTCAGTAAAAATTAAAAGTCGAATGATGAAAACGAAACCATTGCCGATTATCAAAAACATCCATCTGATTAATGTTCCTCAGGGAACAAAACTGCCATTCTTATCTGGTCTGGCCTACATGTGACTCCAGACTGACAGCAAAGTGTTTGATTTTTAACTGCCCTCTGGGCAATTAGGGATGGGCTATAAATGCTTCTGGGTCTAAAAAAAATTCATGATTTCAGCTGTAAATTATGAGAAGGAAAATAGAAAGACAAAACTGTGAAAACCTGAATCCTTTGGGCAACTGTCTTCAGGTCAATTGGTTCTTTAATAATTTCGTAGTAGTCAGGATATTGCTGTAAGCATAAACGATAATTCATGTATTAAAACATTGTCATGTTTTTCAGAATTTGACAAAATTGATTCAATGTAACTTCAGTTTTGCTGTTTGTGTTCGAACATAGCTAACAATGTCCACTGAATCCAAGTTTTTAAGATTGAAAAGTTTAAGATGTAATAAATCAATTGTAATTAGAAACGTGACTGCTCAAAAGCAACTCCTTTGGATCTCAAATTTGCAGGCCAGAAATTGTGTTCATTTAGAACTCTCAACATTGAAATAACTTTCTACTTTTCTGAACTTCCAAGAGAAAGACATTTCATCACAAAGACATAGGAACTAAGTAGGCCTTCTGGACCATTGAGCTTGCTCCATCATCAAGGGTTATGGAGAAAGACAGAAGAGTGGAGTTGAGATTTATCAGATCAGCCATGATCTCATTGAATGGCACAACGATCTGGTGGACCAAATGGCCTGCTTCTGCTTCTACGTCATGAGGTGTTAAGGTCTTAATACAGCAATAGATTGTCAAAGAAGTTTTTTCACAATAGTATCAGTAATTTATCAGTTTATTGATCTGGAATAGATTTACTCACCACTTTAGAAGGCAACTTTTGAAAAAGCTCACTAATGAGATGACCTGTTGGATCAACGTATGTGGCGACAGCTTCAAAAAGGTGCTCTAATTGTTCCTTCAGATTATTATAATGTGCCGCACTCTAAAAAGCAATGAAAATGAAACTCAATAGTTTCATGTCTCATCAATTTCATAAATTAGCATAATTTTAGAATGCAGTCATAAAGACCTTAATTACAGAAAAAGGCCCTTCAATCCATTGAGTCTGTGCTAGTCAAAAACAAACATCAAACTATTTTAATCCTACTTTTCATGCCTTGGCATTGCAAACACATATCTAAATACTTCTTAAATGTTGAAGGTTTCTGTCTCTACTACCTCTACAGGCAATGAGTTCTTAATTCCCACCACCCTCTGGGTAAAGAAATTTTTCCTCACATCCTCTCTAACCTTCCTGCACCTTAACTTAAATCTATGCCCACTAGTCATTGATCCTTCTACCAAGGGGAAAAGTTTGTCCCTGTCAACCCTGTCTATGCCTCTCATAATCTTACGCATCTTAATCATGATCCTGACCCACCCGAGCTTCAGTCTTCTCTATAATAAGGAAAACAACTCCAACTTATCCAATCTCACTTCATAACTAAACTCTCCAGTCCAAGGCAATATCCTGGTAGATCTCTGCATCTTTCCCAGTGCAATCACATTCCTCCTATAATGTGGATTCCAGAACTGCATGCAAGAGTCTAGATGTGGCCTTACTTTTTATACAGTTCCAACATTACCTCCCTGCTCTTAAACTCTATGCCTCAACTAATAAAGGCAAGAATCCTTACTTTCTTAAATACTTTATCTACCTGTCACATTACATTAAGGGTCCCTCTGATCCTTGGTGCTTCCCAGGGTTCATCATGTTTGTCATGCTTATCACCTCACACCTATCTAGACTGGATACCATTTGCCTCTGATCAGCCCATTTGACCAGCCTGTCTGTGTACTTGTGTAATGCACGGCTAGACTTGACACTAAATACTACCCCACCAATTTTCATATCAGCTGCAAACATACTGATCAACGCTCCTGCATTCAAGACTAATTCATTTATATATACCAGGAAAGCAGCAAATCTGATCCCTGTGGAACCCCACTGGACACAGACTTCCAGTCACAAAAACACCCTCGACCATCACCCTCTGAATATAGGGGTTCTACTCAACAAACACAAAACAAAATTAACATTTTAATTCTCACTTATTTTAATTAAAACAATTCTGAAAATTTCAACACCCAAAAATATGCATTACTTTTGAAGCCATATTTGTTGCCCACCCAAATTTCCCTTGAAGAGGTGGTGGTGCTTTTGAATCATTGCATTTCGTGTGGTGAAAGTACTGTAGGAACGGAATTAAACTTTTTTTGTGCCAGAATAGTGAAAGAACAGCAAACGAATTTCAAGGCAAGGTCTTGTGCAGGTTGGAGGGAACTTGTAGGTACTGGGGTATTCATGGAAACGCTACCCTTGTCGTTCTTGATTGGAAGAGATAATGAGATTGGAAGGTGCCACCAGAAAGGATTGGTGAGTCACCATGATCTGCTATATGAATAACTCCCATAATACAATATCTACTTGACACCAGTTAAATTTTGTATTAGATACCTGACTAGTTTGACACATTTACAAATTTGAACAATTATCAAATTCCCTACCTGAATGAACAAAGTAGGGAAATAGTAAATGTCAAATACTAGTCAAACACCTAAATAAAACAAAAAAAACTTTCCGTTTAAGGTTTTGGAGTAGATTTGTAGCTCAGGTTGTGGGTGTTAAGGTTGGTTGGCTCGCTGAGCTGGTTTGTTGTTCCACAGACGTTTCGTTACCATGCTGGGTAACATCATCAGTGCAGCCTCCGATGGATAAGGAGAATCACCAATTCAACTGGGACAACACCAAAATCCTGGGACAAGCTAAGCAGAGACAGGCACGGGAATTCCTAGAGGCCTGGCGCTCCACGAAGAAAGCCATTAATAAACACACAGAACTCGACCCCATATATACTCCACTACGAAGGAAAACCGGAAGTGAGGCAATACAGCTCAACGGACTCCAGAGTTTAAAAACCAGGCGGGAAAACACACCCACGCTTCATCGGAGGTTGCACTGATGATGTTACACAGCATGGTAACAAAACGTCTGCGGAACAACAAACCAGCTCGGCGAGCCAACCAACTTCAACCTTTCCATTTATATAGCATCTTTCAGGATCAACAGATGTCTCAAAATGCATTTCAGCCAATTAAATATTTTTGAAGTGCAGTCAATATTGTATTGTATGAAATGTAGCAGTGCATTTGTGCACAACAATATGTTGTAAACAACAATGAGTCAAAGACCAGATTATCTATTTTGTGATTATTGAGCTATTGAAAAATACATATTGGCTGGGACATGGGGATATCTCCCCTGCTCTTCTTTGAAATAGTGTTGTGGGACCCAACCTAAGAGCATTTGATGGAGCTTTAATTCAACATTTCATTTGAAAAACCACACCTCAGTCGACACAGTACTCCCTCGGTACTGCACTGGAATGTCAGACGAGATGGTTGTGTTCAAGTCCTGGAGTGAGTGAACACACAACCTTCCGACTCAGAGACAAGGTTGCTACCAACTGAACCAAAGCTGGCTGACATATGTGGTTATAAACTAGAGAATTAAAGCTGCCCTTACGTCTTCGTCGCCAGTTGTACCAGGGTTATCCTGACCATCATAATCATCTTCTTCCTCTTCATCTTCATAATCTCCCCTCTGGACAAACTCATTTCTTGTTCTTGTATACAAATCCCACAATTTACCTGCAGCTTTGCATTCAGCAGAATCTTCCTATAAATGATAAAAGAATGAATTGTTTCAAAAATACAAATACCGCATGTTATATACTTTCTAACAATAACTTGCATGAATATGTTCACTGTAATTCACGTGTGCAGTCAAATGAATAAACAGTGATACAAATGAATTACAGACTCAACCAAGATATTTCTGCATTACAAGGCAGAAATTGAGCTTGTATTTTAACCTGGGAAACAAGTTCTACTTCACACAGTAATTATAACAATTCAAAGTACGTCAAAATTCAAGTTTTTGATAAGGTCGTAAACATCGTTTCCTCTAAAGTGCATTTGTATGTGGATGCACAGCAACCCAGATGGGACTAAGCAGCTAGTTCACAAGTGGTCCTATTTAAGATCATAGCCCAGATTTTCTAATCCGGAGTGGAAGCTCTAATTCTGACCCTGATCAACCAAAAATTACATACTTACCCTCCACAATTCTTCTGAGTGATCTTCTGGTGGACAATCCTTCAGAACTATCTCATTGCAGCAAACCTCAGAGGGAGCTAAGAGAAGCCACACCATGTTTTTACAGCAATAGCTGCTGTATTCTAGTAACCGAATCCTAAATATCCTAAAGCTTCTGGTAAAGCTATGGAGAGAGGGTAAATGTATCATGGGAGAGAGAGAGACTAAGTAAAGAGATAGACTGGCAAGTGATAGGGTGTTGATTGGGTAAGATAGCAGGTACATAGGGTTGCAGGAATGTAAGTGGTAGGTGTGAGCTAACATATGGATTGGGGTTAATCAGGTTGGGTTAGTAGCTAGTCAGGTTGGATGGGATACTTGAGGGTCAGGGAGAAGTCAGGTGGTGGTGGTTGGTCAGGTTAAGTTGGGCAGTCAAGGTGAGAGGCTGGGTGCAGTTGGGAGAGGTTTAGTGATGGGGAGTGACAAGAGGTCGGTGGGGAGGGGTGGTGTTGGTGCAAAGTGGCAAAGAGAAACAGTGAGAGAGATTGGGGGGAGGGGCAGTTGTATGGTTACCTAACAGTGACAACAGCTTTTAGTCTGGCTAATATGTTCTGCATAACCATTCAGGTAAATAAATAGGAATTGTCCAAATTTCCAACTCTAGCTTAGACTTGAAGATCTTTCTCAAGGTTCCTGGGGAACAGGGGAGTTGCTCAGTGGAAGTTCAACCTTATGGGCAATTCCTACAGAGGCCTTGCGTCAGGGCTTCTGAGAAGCCCCATAGTGCATGCTCACAGCTGAGCAAAACATATTGAAGGCACCACACACTAAAATAAACTAATTCAATACAACAAAATAAACCAGAAAAAAAAGAATAATGTGGCATAAGATTGTGAACATATGAACAATTCACATTCCTGTATACCTTTTGATAACCTTTCAATCTCTTGCTTTACAAGAATCTACATATTTCTCCCTTAAAAATATTTACGGACTCTACTTCCACTACTTTTTCAGGAAGAGGGTTTCAAAGACTCTCAACCCTCTGAGAAGAGATCTGCTTAATCTCTGCTTTAAATATGTGTCCCTGATGTTAAAAATAGTCTCTGGTTTTAGACTCTTCTGTAAGAGGGAACATCTTCTGAACATTTATCCTATCAAGACCCCTCAACATCTATATGGTTCAATCAAGTCACCTCTTTGTCTTCTAAACTCCAGTGAATACAACACTAGTCTGTCCAGCCTTTCTTCATGAGATGACCTCATTCTAGGTGTTATTCTGGTAAACGTGCTCTGAACTGCTTCAAATGCATTTACATCTTTTCTTAAAAAACTGACCAATACTGCACACGGTGGTCGAAATATTGTGTAGAGTGCAGGAAGGCATACCAGGTGCAGCAGCAAGCATACCTAAAAATGAGATGTCAACCTAATGGAACTACAAAACAGGACTACGTGCGTGCCAAACAGCATAAGTAGCATAAATGATAGGCAGGAATAGGTCAGTGCACAATCAACAGATCAGATCTAAGTTCTGCAGTTCTGGCATTCAGGCATCATTGGCGATGGGCTGTAAAAACAATTCACTGGAGAAAAAGGTTCCATAAATATGCCCACACTCAGTGATGGGGGAGCCCAGCACATCAGTACAAAAGATAAAACTGAAGAATTTGCAACAAACTTCAACCAGAACTGGCTGATCCTTCTCAGCTTACTTCAGAGATCCTAATCATTACAGATAGTCTTCAGTCAATTCAATTCATCTCATGTGATATCAAGAAAAGACCTAAAGACGATAAGATACTACAAAGGCTATGGCCCTGACAACATTCCAGCAATTGTACTTAAGACTTGTGTTTCAAAACTTGCTGCTGCTCTGGTCAAGCTGTTCCTGGATAGCTACAAAATTGGAATCTATCTGGTATTGTGGAAAATTATCTTGGTATGTCCTGTACACAAAAAGCAGACAAATCCAACCTGACTAATTACTGTCCCATCATTTACTCTTGATCATCAGTCAAAATGATGGAAGGGGTCATCAACAGTGCTATCAAGCAGCACTTGAGATCAACTGATGCTGTTTGACTTTTACTAGGGCCTGTTGACTCTTGATCTGACTATAGCCTTGGTTCAAGATGGACCTAACAGCTGATCTCCAGAGGGAGTCATTCCTTGACATCAAGGCTGCATTTGATTAGGTATGCCATCAAGGGGCACAAAAAAAGCTAAATTCAACTGGAATCTGGGGGAAACTCTCCACTGGTTGGAGTCATACCCTGTACAAAGTAAGATGGTTGTCATCATTGGATGTCAGTTATGTCAGCTCCAGGACACTTCTGCAGGAGTTCCTCAGGTTAGTCTGTGGTCCTAGGTCCCACTATCTTCAGCTACTACATCAAAGACCTTCCCTCCATCATAAGGCCAGAGGTGGAGATGTTCAGTGACGACTGGACAATGCTCAGCACCATTCACAACTTATATCACACCATAAGTCAGCTCCTCAGAAACTTAAGCTGCCTGTGTCTAAATGCAGCAAGACTTGGACAATATCCAAACTTTGGGGGATAGCTGGCAAGTAATGTTGGCTTCACATGCCAGGCAAACAATATCATCAACAAGAGAATCTAACTTTCACACCTTGACATTCAATGGCATTATCATTTGATTCCTGCATTATCAACATCCCAGGCATTACCGTTTACCAAAAACTAAACTGAACTGCATCAGCCACATAAATACTCTGGTACACTGCTTTGCATCATTTATATTAATGATTTGGATGTGAATTTAGGAGGTATAGTTAATACATTTGTGGATGATACCAATAAAGGTGGTGTAGTGCAGTGAAGAAGATTATCGCAGATTACAATGGAATCTTGATCAGATGGGGTGGTGAAGAAGAGGTTTAGCATGCTTGCCTTCATTGGTCATAAAACTGAGTATATAAGTTGGAATGTTATGTTGTGGATGTACAGGACATTGGTGAGGCCACGTTTGGAATACTGCATACAATTTTGGTCACCCTTCTGTACGAAGGATGTTGTTAAAGTTGACAGGGTGCAGAAAAGATTTACAGGCATGTTACCAGGTCTGGTATACATGTGTCACCAGATCTGCAGCAATTATTTGAGTTTTAAATGCCTTCTGGGCAATTAGGATGGGCAATAAATACTGGTCTAACTGCATCCCTTAAATGAATTTAAAAAATATATGATTGATGTTGCTATCTGAGGGTGCCTTGAGATCATTAATTAATCCTGTCTCATTGCACAATACCAGGTCTTGTACAGTCTGCTCCCTGGTTAGCTCCAGAACATGCTATTCTAAGAAACTATATTGAAACATTCTATGAACTCCTCATACAGATTACCTTTGCCCTTCTGACTTTTCCAGTTGATATACAGATTAAAATCTCCTATGATTATTGCTCTATCTTTCTGACAAGCTCTATTATTTCTTCTGTTATGCACTATCCTGCTATGGTTACTGTTATGGAGCCTTTAGACCACTTTCATAAGTGTCTCCTTGCATTTATCATTTCTCATCTCCATCTCCATTTCCACATTCTTGTTTCCAGAACTTAGGTCATCCTTCTCTAGTGTGCTAACACTGTTATTATCCAGAAGTGTGATTTGGAGACATCCTGCACAGTTCAGGATTCAGGTCCCAATCCATGTCTCTATAATGGCTGCTAGATCATACTTGTCCAGGGAAATTTCTGACTCCTTGATGCATCTCAGTATCTATTGCTCAGTATCTGGCACTTGAAATCTGAGCCAATGCTGCTTGAACTTAAACACTGATTTCATTTGTATTTGATCTGGCCCAAACTGGCATCAGGAATGCCCATCCATTTCCTGCAGCTATGGCACATCATTGGTTCTGTAGTCCTTAATGCATTCTAATTGATTTCTTAGTTATGTAGATGTATAATTGAATAAAATATATTTTTATATATTGTATGAACTTTACCACCAGTTGGTATACTCTGTTGAACTGCAGGAGATGAATAAGTTTTATTCACGTACCAGATCTCACCAAATAACTAGCTTCTTCTCCTGTAGCAGAGTAAGAAGAAGCAATTCCTGAATGCTGAAAAACTTATAAAAGGCAAAAGCAACAGAGTACCCCTTTCTTTCCTGCCTTAACTCCCTTAATCATCTATCTCTAGCACTCTATTATAGTTATTTTAATCAACCCCAATCACACATCCAGGGCAGGTGGAAACATGAACCCAAACCTTGTGGCTCACAGGTAGGATATTAGCACTGGGCGCAAGAGTCCTGGGGCATGCTAATTTGGGTATTTTTAATCAAGATGTTCAGACATGTTGCGAAACACCTCTAGAGGGCGACATAGTGGCTCAGTGGTTAGGACTGCTGCCTCACAGCACCAGGGTCCTGGGTTCGATTCCAGCCTTGGATGACTGTCTGCACATTTTCCCTGTGTCCATATGGGTTTCTGCCAGGTGTTCTGGTTTCCTCTCACAGTCCATAGCTGTGCTGGTTAGGTGGATTGGCCATGCTAAGTTGCCCCACAGTATTTAGGGTTGTGCAGACTAAGTAGATTAGCCACGGTAAATGAGCAGATACAGGGAGACTCGATGGGTCAAATGGCCTCTTTCCACACTGTTTGGATTTTAGGATTCTATGGAGCAGGTGCCTGGACTTTGTGGTACAGAGATAGGGCACTCCATTGCAAGCTGTGCTCAGCTGCACTGTATTTTATATTTAATTCAACATATAAAAAAGCTATTTGACACCTTTAATAAAAAATCGGTTTGAGCTGATTCTGAATTAAACCCAATTGTTGTTCAACTGGTGACCTTATTAAAAGCCTTGTTTAAGACTGGGACCTACAGAATTTAAACTGAAGATTTCAGTTAAATGCCAGCTATAAACAAAATTAGAATTAAACAAATGCTTGGTAGTACAGAACATTACATAGCTAAAATGAGCCTATAAATCGAACGTTTTCATCAAAACTAAGAGGCAAGAAACAGACACTGATAGTGGGTGCTGATTGGTTGGGACATCTCCATCTCTTATACTGTAAATTTGATCTTAATATCTAACAACTGCAAGCGCTCCGTGAAAATCATTATTTTGAAAGTTGTTTACAGAAATTTCATTTCCAGGGAGAAACATAATTAAAAATATATTTTGAAGCTACTGTACTTAATACTCTACCTGAGCTCATCCAGAATGTAATAAAATAATTAAAAACTCACATAAGACAAAATACTTTTAAATATTTTCTCAAAGAGGTGTTACTTTCTATGGAACAAACCAAGTGATAGGTGAAATCTTCTGTGATAAAATTAGAGAGACAGAATAAATTTCAAAATGTTGATAATTTCAAACAAAAACACAGAAATTTACAAGATTTTGACATCTGAAAAAAAGAAAAGCTAGGTCAAGATTTTGGCTGAGGAACTCCCTCATTGTTCTGACAAAGACTTAAACATGATCATGTTGAGATTGTACAGGACATTGGTGAGACCTCTTCTGGAATACTGTGTCCAGTTCAGTTGCCCAGTTATACGAAGGATATTATTAAGCTGGAAAGGGTTCAGAAGAGATTTATCAGGATGTTGCCAGGTATAGAAGGTTTGAGTTAAAAAGAAAGGCTGGATAGGTTGGGACTTTTTCCCGCTGGAGCGTAGGAGGTTGAGAGCTGACCTTACAGAAGTTTATAAAATCATGAGGGGTATAGATAGAGTTAATGGTAGTTCTCTTTTCCCTGGGATGGGGGATTTCAAGACTAGGGATGATATTTTTAAGATGAGAAGAGACAGATTTAAAAAAGACATGTGAGGCAAATTTTTACACAGAGGGTGGTTCGTGTGTGGAATGAACTTCTTGAGGAAGTGGTAGATGTGGGCACAATTACTAATGTTTAAAAGACATTTGGGTAAATACATGAAAAGGAAAGTTTTGGAGTGTATGGGCCAGGAACAGGTATGTGGGATGCGTTAATGTGGGATTATGTTCGGCATGGACTGGTTGGACTGAAAGGTCTGTTTACGCACTGTATGACTCTCTGAATCTAATCCAAGAAAATGTTGATGGATCTACTTTTATTGTAAAATAATATACAACTAATTTCAAACAACTTCCAGTTATACATTACTTTAAAAATGGTCAATGACACTTCACAAATGTAGGAACAAAATCAAATTGGTACCAAGTCAATCAAGAACACATTACCTTATAGTAGGCTTTTGCATTATTAACCATAAGCTGAAAATCAGAAGTCAACTGATCAACATCATCGTATTCCTCCATCTTCAATTTCTGCTGGATCTTCAAAAGATCGATGGGATGGGAGACCACATCATAGTAATCAGGTTGGTTCCTATTTTGCAAGATATTTATTCAAATTTAATATCCAAATGCCTATAGCAATTTATGTTTAAAGCCGTATATATGATGTATACTTCCAATTTTCAGCAATTTATTTCACGCTGTTAGAAACTCATGAAAATACATGTCTTTTTTTAACCACACTCTTCAATGTGGCCATTCAAGAAAAAATGTAACTAAGTACTACTTAAAACGAATCCAATCTAGCATAACACAGCCCCATCCGGCCACCCTCAGTCATCAGCAAAATTATGGAAGGGGTTATCAACCCTGTTATTAAGCTGCGTTTACACACTAATAACCAGAATGCCAATGCTCAATCAATGCTGCCTGAAATGTTCACATCTCATCAATGAATAAAAGGCAGCTCACAAATCCAAATATGTGGCAGAATAGATCCTAAGTCCTCATCATCACTGGGATATTATACATAATATACAAACAAATAGAATAAAAAGTCTATCTTTTTCAGAACTTTAATAAGGTTTCTTACCACCTTTTACAAAAAGATGGAAATTAGAAATTTAACAGAGATGTTTAAAAGGGTCAATTTTTAAAATTCACTCAGGAATGTAGGCATTGTGACAAAGCCAGTATTTGTTGCTCATCCCTAATTGTTCTTGAGAAAATGATGATGAGTTACCTTCTTGAATTGTTGCAGTCTGTGTAACGAAATGGCGTAGAGAGGAAGTAACATGATTTTGATCAAGTGAGAATAAAGTGATATACATCCTAGTCAGGATGGTGTGTCACTCAGAGATATTGGTGTTGTCATTGCAAGTGGCAAACGCCAAAGGTTTGGAAGATGCTGTCAAAAATCTTTTGGAGAGATGCTGGAGTATATTTTGTAGATAGTACATACCACAGGCACAATTCTTTGGATTAGTGGAAGAAATGAATATTTTAAGGTGGCGGGTGATTTGTCCTGGATGGTGTTAAGTTTCTCAAGTGCTCTTGGAGCTGCATTTATTCAGCTCAGTAGTAAGTATTCTGTCACTCCCCTGACCTGAGCCTTTGAGATTACGAAAGGCTTTGGCAACTCAGGAGGTGAGCCACTTGCCTTGGAATGCCACAGCCAATACCCATTCATGCACCTGAAGATTCATCCAGCTGGTCCAGTTACGTTCCTGGTCAATGGTATCCTTCAGGATGTTAATGGTATGAGATTCAATGATCGTAATACTACTGAATGTCTAGGAAGGTGGTTAGATTCTCTCTTGTTGGAGAAGTCATTGCCGGGCACTTGTATGGTACAATGTTACTAGCTATTTATCAGGCCAAGCTTTATTTTGTCACTTTCTTGCTACAAATGAGCATGCCTGACTTCATTATTGAGGAGTTATGAAAACTAAAAATGAAACTGTGGAATTATTAGGAAGCACCCAAGTTCTAACCGACCATACAATGGAAAGAGTGTTTTTGGTGAAGCAGCTGAACATTGTTGGGCTCAGGATATTAGTGCTCAGAACCAGTTATAAAGATGTCCTGTGGCTGTAAATATGAAATTATCAGCTTAAGTTCAAGTTTAGAAAAATACCGGCTGAATTGCATTCACAAAATTAGCTTTGAATTGCAGCATTAGTTGCAAAGTTGCTCACTGCACAATTTTTTTGATAACCTTCCAGCTAAAATGAATTAATCCAGTTAACTCATGGTTCCACAATCACTATAGTGAATGCATTTTTGCTGAAAATCATGCATTTGATGTGGTTGAAACTCAAAATCATTTCCTTTCGGCTGTAAAGAAATTCACAATTTTTACTATTTATAGTATCTAATCAGTGGCCAAGCAATTTGTTCCTATTGTCATAAGCACGTAGTGACAACATTTAGAACAAGGCTTGGATTTTCCAATGGCCAGATAATCTGCATCGTAGATGGGAGTTATGCATGGGGACCCTGCAGAATGCACAATGTAGCAGACTCTGATGGAAATACCCGGAAAACTGAAGATTGCTCTGGGCAATTCCTCCACATCTGGAAGATTCTGAAAGTATTCATTTAAATTGTGAGGGTTCTATTGCAATTAAATAAATTGTTACTTAGGAAAAGTTAGAGTATTAAAAAGTCTAACTCCTAAATAACTTTTCAACTGACCCCCAAATTACCACATACACTCTCTACTTCACCTTCCCAAAACCTTTTATATCCAGCAGACTCTGAACCAACACCTTCCCCCATATCCCTGGAAGCCAACACCTTCCCCCAATTCCTGACACCCTGACACTGAAGAAGCCATTACGAAAGAAGCCATAATTTGGAATCTTCTGTCAGAAATAGCGAGCTCTATCGTTATGTAAAAAAGAGGTTGAGTGAGAATTTGCATGACAGCCACTCCTTGGTAAAGTTGGCTCAATTGTTGCTTGGTGTCTTGGAGACACATAAACATAAGAACTTTACAGCAAAGGAGGAGACCAGTCATTCTTCATGTCTAAACTGGCTCGTTACTAAAACAATCCAAAACTAATCCTACTCCTCGCTTACTGCCCATTGCTTTATATATTTTTCTCTGTTTCAAATATTTATTCATTTTTCATTAAAAGTTGGAAAGATCATTGCCTCAACTACTTTCTGGCAACACATTTTATCCTTAAACAACACTGTTGAAAGGAATTTATTCTATCCTCTCTCCTCACACTCACGTTTTCCGATTCACCCTACTGAAATTTTCCGTTATTGGGTAAAATAATGAGATGCTCACCACAATATGATCACATCTATAATAACCAATTTATTGATTCCTTGATCTAAATTGGTCTGAGTTGGTATGGGCCACCTCTTTGTGCCTGACTATGGTGTAGTACTTGTAGAAGCATTGGAATATGTTATCTGCTTATTTGCATCTTTGGAGAATGGTGTTTGGTATTGGAAATGGAGAAACAAGAACAATTGTCATCAGTAAGGCTCCATTGAAAAGGAATACAATATTTTTCAACTACACAGGATTATTTAAAGTATCAAAACATTTTTCCTCAATTATTATTATTTCACTGGCTGCTTAAACATCCTCAGTTCACTATATTGAATTTATAAAAGTCAGTATATTTATGTATCAATGGGATATCATTGAATTCAGTCAATCAGTTTTTAAGAGTAAGCAAAGTTAGATTTCTAAACAGTTTTAGACCTAGACATGAAAAATATTAGCTCGCTAAAAATCAAGAACATGATTTTTTTAACAATAAATTCTGAAAAACCTCCAAAGTCAGGATTTCCAAAATACTACCTTCGTTTTGGAGCTCTGATGAAGAGCTCACATAGAAGTCTTCCATGATCATCCTTGTAATCTCTGATGGTATTGTACAGCTCATGGCAAACTGCAATCTGTTAAAAGAAAATTTTTACATCATATATATGAGCAAAGGCTTAGTTGTACAGAACCTTAGCAGATCTTATAATTTTGGGAATCATACCTCAGGATTTTTTTGTTTTTAGTTTATTCCTTTCTGAGATGTGAGTGGTGCTGGATAATCCAACATTTATTGCTCATCACTAATTGCCCAACAGACAGTTAAGAGTCATACAACGTGGAAACAGACCGTGCAGTCCAACTAGTCAATGCCGAACATAATCCCAAACTAAACTAGTCCCAACTGCCTGTGCCTGGCCATTATCCCTCCAAATTCCTATTCAGATTTATGAACAGTTGTGAAGCAGATTGGCTTTTACTACAATCGACAGTGGTTGATTCCAAATTTCTGTTAACAAATTCAAATTTCATCATGTGCCATTGTGGGATTCAAACTTACGACTCTAGGGTCCTGGATTACCAGTTCAGTGACATTAATACAATGCCACCACCTCCCTCCTTGGTGAAGCTACAGCATACATAGATTTAGAAAGCTACCAAGTGTTTAAAGGATTACATTATGAAAACATATTGCATCAACTTGCTGTAAGTTGCTTATAATGGTGAAATAATTGAGGCTTTTAAAACAAAACGAAGAATTTGATAGCAACTGATTTCCTCTGCTGGGGATATCTAGACCATGGGGCACAGTCTTAAAAATAGAGCTCAGCCATTCAGTATTGAAGTTAGGAAAGAGATTTAAAAGCCCAGACATATTTGATCATTTTAAATTTACAAGATCAAGATTTCTGTCAGGTATGGACCAAACCAGGATAACATGAGTCGAGGTAAAGATTAGCCATGATCTCTCAGCATGGTGAAGCAGGCTTATAGGACTGATTGACCTACTCTTGTTTTTATGTCTTTATCTATTATACATGTATGTCAACGAGAAAAACAAAATCTATACCTTAAAAGATACATTTAAAGATTAATTAAAGAACAGCAAAGTTTGATAGTATTCCAAAATATTTATCCTTCTATTGTCAAAATTGTTGGTCAGGTAGGTTTGCCTCAAATTCAAGCATTTTTTTTGAAAAATGAGCTTACTGGATATATTTATGTAAAAGTCGATCTCATTTAAAAGCTGACCCCAAAAAGTTGAGACTAAAAAGTCATATGTTTTATATCCCTCATATAAAGATCTGCTTTAATTTCTCAGGAATCAAAACTCAAATATTTTGCAGGATTTCAATGTAAAGTATAGTAACTAGTTATATATTTAGATTTCTTTAGATGAAATATATATAGTCCATAAAATTATAAGATGGAAAAACGTTAAGTAATTAATATAGATGAAATACGTGCAAGTCAAGATGCCATAGACCATAGGGCTGCTGTGTCATTCGAAGGAGTCAACTGGTGATTGCCATACCATTGCCATACATTCACTCCTCAAATCTGTATGCCCAAAGCTAAATTTGCAAATGGCTCAGGTAATAATCCATTGATTGATAATCTTGAAGTTCTGCTTTTTAAATTTGGCACCTTGTACCCTATACTGTCCATGAAGAACCTTTTTCCTCATCCTACCTATGTTGCTGATACCTACATTAACCATGATGATGGGATCCTCCCCTTCTCCTCGCTCGCCCTGAACAGATGTCCTGAACCCTAGATCCAGTCAGGCAACCACAGTCTTCTGGACTCTTGGGCTTTATTGCAGAAAACAATGTCAACTACCTCACTTTCTGTCTTCTACTACTACTAAATTCCCTTTTGCTTCCACCACTTGAATGGCTTCCTGTACTGAAATGTGAAGTTCAGTAGTTCATCTATCCTTCAGCCCTCACTCTCATCCAAACCTGCAGAAATACCCCAGATCTGTTAGATAATTGCTGAGGGTGAGGCTCCTGCATTTCAGGCCTCTGAATCTCCTTATTTGCCTTGCTCACATTCATACCACCTTTCCCTAAGAAATGGGAAAATTGAAACATCCTATTCCAAGAGTGTGACTGTTTTCTTCTACAAAATAAGCAGATAATGTTCTTCCTCCTGATGTGTCATGGAGCCTGTAATAAGTTTCCCAGGTCAAACTCTAAGCTGAATCTGCTCAACCTGTAAACACATACTGCAGATGTGTTTGCCCTGGATCACACCAGCATCCAGAAACTCCAAGTCTCAGGCATGATTGCCTTTTATTTGTGGAACTTATTTTAGGACATTTTTTAAGTCTATTCTTAAAAATTTAATATTTACCTTAAGCCCATATATGTCTCCCAATCTTTATTTCACTCTCTGCAAATTTTTTAAACAACTCACTGGTTATAATACATTTCATTTCCTGGTTTGCTGTCTGTGAAATTTATTTAGTGTTTATATTTTAGACATCCCGATGAAATCACTATAGCTCAACAAAGGGAATCCCCAATAATAATTATAACAGTCAATTGAAAGTTGAGGAAGGTAAAAGATAATGGTAAATGTAAAGATCAGCGGAACTCATGCTGCAGATGTCTTCAAGGTCAGTGGCAACAAGTATTTTGCAGTCAGTGGCAAAGAAACAAGGGCCAATGGGTTTTCAATGAAACGTGCATACCCCATATTAAATTTCAACTGTAACAGATACCTGTATATCAAGAATACAGAACATTATATCTCCCAGAGTCTTTGTTTTAATGTAACTTACTGGTCTACCAAATAAGTATATACATCACTTAACACTTCTTCCTTTAAACAGGCAAAACAAAATTCAAAGCCAAATGATTCAGACTACATTATTCAACTAGTTGTTTTTATGATTCAACACTGAATGAAGTAAGGACCAAAACTAAATTTCAGCATTTTGTTTACCATTGATATGGAGCCAACCATCTTCTGTGGTAAGAGGAATATAGAAAGACACTGTAGTCATACTTACAGGATCTACAGTTGGAACGTTGGAAAGTTTTCTTCTTTTTCTACTTGACCCTACATTGCTTCCCGAAACAGGGTGTCCGTCATCACAGTCCCCGCCACTAATACTGCTTGAAGGAGAAGTGGCTCTCTTTCTTTTTGAACCCATAGGAACTTTGGTAATATCTTTAAAAATAAGGCATTCAATGATGAGTTGACTCAAAAAAGTGTGACATTCATTCACAGTCTTCATTATCACTACCATTGCATCACTACTATTATCATTTTGAAGGGGGATGGGGATGATGGTGATGGTGTAGTAGCAATGTCATTGGACTAGCAATCCAGAGGGCCAAACTAATACTCTGGAGGCACAGGTTCAAATCCCACTATGGAACCTGGTGGAATTTAAATTCAAATAATACATCCGGAATATAAAGCTAGTCTCAGTAGTTGTGCCATGAAAATACTCTTCTAAAAACCCAACTGATTCATTAATATATTTTAGGGTACGAAATCAGCCATCCTTAGCTTGTGGGGCATACATGTGACTCAAATCAGTAGCAACATGGCTAACTTGTAACTGTTCTTTGAAATAGTCGAACAAACTACTCAGTTCAAAGGCAAGCGGGGATGAACAACAAATCCTGGCCTTGCCAATATTGCCCACATCCAAGAAA